CAGAACTCTGACGTGGACGGCGGCGGAAAGAAAAAGAAGAAGAAGAAGGAAAAGAAACACAAGAAGGACAAGAAGCACAAAAAGCACAAGAAGCATAAGAAGGAGAAGAGCGGGGGGGCGGTGACCGCCGACAGCCAGGAGAACCAGCTCCCCGAGGAGGACGGAGACTCCCGAAAGGTGAGAACTCTCGGTGTTCACAACTCTGTACTTCATCATCATATCTGCCGACCGTTTATTAAAGCGTTTCCCGATGACTAAATGAAGGAAAAGGGGGCTCTTTCTCTCCCGCCAGGAGTCGGAGAGTGAGGCCGACGAGGGCCTGGACGACCTGGAAAAGCACCTCCGGGAGAAGGCCCTGCGCTCCATGAGGAAAGCCCAGCTCTCCCCATCACAGATGTCATGAAAACCACACTTTCCCTTCATTTTGATGTTTGTCATCGACCTGGTTCGGCTTTAGAATGTACAAAATTGTTGGGTCTTGTTTCTTTTTACTGGTTTGGTACATTCTGGAGATTGTGTTTCTTTACGAGCTTGATTTGTCTAATAGTTTATCTGAACTGTAAAAGAGAAAAAAGAGGAAAAAAAGAAACTAAACTTGTGTTGTCCACACTTTTAAATTGTCGAGCAGGAAACCGGTGTAATTTCAGAGCTGAGTCAGGCAGGTTGATGTTTCCCTCCTTTGAGATATGGTTGCATGTACGGTGAGAGTGAAACTGTAAAGAGGCTCAACTGAGCTTTTGTCCCATGTTTGTAACCTGTTGAGAGCGCTGGGCACCATTTAACCTGCTTTTTTCTGACTTTGGAATTGTCTCGTTTCAAGATTAAAGCAGTTTGATGTGTTACATGCTTTAATTATTTTTTTTCTAAACTGATTGATATGCAATTTATGTTGATTCCCTTGTACCAAGCTAACATATGTGGGACTGCTTTAGTTTATCATTTGTATTTAGTGACCTTGGCTCTTTTCATCCTTTCAGAATTAAAATTTTTTTAGGAGAGTTTTCATCCTTGCTTATTTAAAAGTCCTCAGATTGTTTCATTTGTGTTTGGTAGATGTCTGAGACCTAATGATTATACATTTAGGTCATTCTAATAAAAACGCAAACCTAATGGGTGGGGTTACGGTTTATTAAATTCAATTTTTGTGAAACTCATAAAAACTTTTGCAATTTTCTGACACGTCAACCTAGGATTTTTCATGTAAATTGTTAGTTTATGAAGATTTAAAAAATAACTTGAATGTAAATCCACAATTTCCTTATTAAAAACACAATTGGCGTCAACATTTTTCGTAGAACAACGTTTACAATTTCGGGTGGAAGTTTCTGGGAATTCTGCTCTTTGGTTAAACATTTGTTCATTCTTATTTTATTTTATTTTTCAAACAAAATCCCAGAAAAAGAAAGGCGTGTCCTGCGATCCCTTTTCCAAAAAAAAAAAAACCCCCCCCACTTTTTTTTTTTTTCACATGTGTCCGCGGCCGATGACGTCACGGGCCTCCTGCGTTACCGTTGCCTCTTCCCGACGTCACCGCTCATCCTCGCGCAGCGACGGTTAGAAGCGGCGTCCCGTTAGCATAGCTAGCTTAGCTTAGCCACAAACAGACGTTGGAGCGGTTGTTCCTGACCCCGTCTCCTCAACGAGCAGCTCCAGTGGACGGTCTGCTTTCGTTTTTGGGGGAGAGAAACCACCTCCTGGACCCCTTAGAAGTAAAGAAAAGAAAGAAAAAACGGAGCCAAGTCGGGTGTGGTAAAGAAGAAAAAGTCATCTTTGTCCGAAAAACTTCCAAGTAGCATCCACCATGTCTCTGTCAGTGCCGCAGAACGGAGTAAAGGCGGATAACGAGCCCGTTATCGAGCTTTTTGTCAAGGTAAGACAGCAGAAAACGCATGATTTAAGTTTCTTAATCGCGACAACACTTTTAAAAAAACAATATCAATACAACATGTGTTGATGAACTTTTATATTTCAGCCTCGAAAGGCAAATAATGCCCATTGTTCCACCTTTTTTTTTAAGATGAGCCAAAGCTGGAAGCTAATTGCGTGTCATTTAGACGGGTTGTATTGATAGAAATGTTAGAAAAAGATGCTTTATCTTTGAATAAAAATCATAAGTTGAGGTTTTTAGCTCCACTGGCCATGTGGAGCCCGCAGTTCCCCGGGCAGGGCGGATGCCGCTTTTCCCCCCTCTCCTTGCGGGGAAACGGGAGCCTGCCACGCCGAGATAAACAAAAAATCTCTAACAAAAGCTCGTTATTTACGGTCCATGCGAGCCAATTCATCACCGAAACACGCGCGTTTTCACCCCTCCGTGCGTGGAAATCCAGAGAGAATATCCCGAGTGTCCAAAAGGGATAAATTAGTCTGTAAATTAATCCCAGATGAATTGCTCGCCAGTGGTTTGGGGGCATTTAGCATCGTTCAGTTTTCTATTATTGTGCATTAAAACCTCTATCTTCTACGCCGATTGACAGACCTCCAAGTGTATTTCACATAAGTGACAGTAAAAAACACATTTTAAAGAGGAGTGAGATGTTTAGTGGCATAATGTCTTAATTTGCCCGGATTTTTCTGTAAAGTTCATCACATGTATTTGAAGTAGTCAGTTTGTTCTTGATGGATGACTGTATATATTTTCCTATAAACCAGGTGTAGAGGACCACAGCCTTTTGTAAACTTTGATCACCAATCTCAGCCTCCTTTGTAACCATAATGATGGTCCTGGTATGGTGTGAGTTGTTTTCTTTCTTCAGCATGCGTTCTTTTCCAGGGCGGGAAAATGGCAGAGGACAGAAAAAAGGGAGCACTGGGATTAAGGGGGGTGGGGGCTAAAGGGTCTGAGGAGCTGTGGTGGTGGTGAGGGGGTTGCTTTGGACCAGAACAACAAGTACTTTAAGAGGAATGATCCCTGTGAAGCTTTTCTGAAGGCTGCACATGAGTCGAGGCTTTCGGGAAACCTTATCCAGTCAATTACCTCATTTATTTTCTTATTATCGGCTTTCCCGATACGGTTAACGAAAACAAGAAAACTCCATTTCCCTCCTGTGATCTTCCCATAAGAGAAAGCTTTGTTGCAACAAGCCTCACAGCACGGACGCAGAACATATGAGCAAACCAGCCAGCACCGTTTCTTTCACAGTTTTTAGGAGAGGTTACATCATCCCGTGGCCTGGAAGGTTTAATTGCGTGGCCAGCTCTTCCCTCTCCACCCCTCCCTCTTTTCCCAGAGCAGGCAGAAGTTTCTTCCAAATGAGTATTTATTTATTTAATTATTCTTGACGCTCAGAAGTAATATTCTCTCTCATTCTCCGTGCTGTCCCCTGTTGTCTGACATTTATTTATTTATTCATTTATTTAATCAGGACAGTGTACATTAATGAACAATCTCATACAGATTGTAAATTAGCCAGATTCTAGCATAGTTGCTAATTTACATCTGTCGTCCTGAGGAAGGAAGACAAAACAACACAAAATCACATAATACAATATCAATTAAAACACATAGACACACGTTCAGACAATGACATTACAAAAATAAAATTAGTGATTGCATGACTGGGAACTTTTGAGAAACAGTTTAAGGTGCTTTTTAAAAGTGTAAAAAGTGGGACCATCCCTGATGTTTGTTGGGAGTTTGTTCCAGAAGTTTCCCCCTCTGACTGGTAGAACGGTTTGTCCAAACCTTGTACTTCTGTGGGATCTATTATGACGACATTAAACTGTTCGGTGTACAGTTTGTGGACGGCTGATGGCTGATAATGAGCTTATACTCTCCACACAGAGTGGTGCCACATCTCTCGGTGCCCTGCCAAATATCTTACTTATTTTCCCAGAACGTGACACCTTTCCGCGGACGCCTGGAGCCTTGTTTTCCCCCCCTCCAGGTAGCTGACTGCTCCAGTTTTTTTTGATGACCGTGCAGTCTGTTTATGGCGACTGTTGTCGCGTTGCCGTGGGAACGCTCATCATCACCCGTCTTTACAGCTTCTGGTTGTGTATTAGTGGCGCAGAATTGCTTTGCAAGAGGGAGGATCAACCCTTGAACACTTCACTGTGAATCAGATAACAGTTTGGTTTTAGGAGCTCACCCTCACATCCACCCAAAACTGCTGACAAATCAGATTTTACACCATATATATTCGTCACCTCTTTAAAACCTACAGTGGGGGAAATAAGTATTTGACCCCTTGCTGATTTTGCAGGTTTGCCCACTTACAAAGAATGCTTATTTTTCCTCATCAGATGGTTATCAATTTTTATAAATTCATATGATGTGATTTTCTGGAATTTTCTTTGGGATTCTGTCTTTCACTGTTAGAATGTACATATGATTAAAGTTATAGATCGTTGCATTCTTTGTAAGCGGGCAAACCTGCAAAATCAGCAAGGGCTCAAATACTTATTTCCCCCACTGTAAATCCCCTTTCCGTTTATCACACATTTCAGATCACATGAGAAGCAATTCTGATCAAAATGCTGCAGTTTGTTGTTGGTTCTGTTTCATGTGGCTGATTTGTTGTTGTTGTTTAATTTGCATGATTCCCTTAATTAGGTATGACGGTTCCCTAATCTGGCCTCACTGAATTAATTTGAGACAGGCACGCCAAGTGAGTCATTGTCCTCCAGCTCAGGACCCGAGTGTGTGATGGTGAGCAGGACCCAGCTTTATCTTTGCTGTCTGGTTACTGCCCGCCAAACGCCAAACGCCTGCCAGCAGAAGCAGAATCAGAGCCAGGAAACATGCTCCAGAAGTGTGTGGGGGCACAAGAGCCCGTCTGTGTTTGTTGATGTGCTCCAGGACGGCCCCATGGGAACCGCCGACCACAATAGGCCGGTTCAGCCGGAGGGGGCGGGGCTTAGTCTGAGGATTTAAAGTCCCAACATGGATGCCTGTTCCCTCTCAGGTGTAGGTTCGTTTTTATGGTTGAAGATTCTCTTGATGAGCTTTAGATGCAACGAGGACTGTCTGTTCAAAGGAGAGCAGCCTCTGGCTGGAGACTGTAGGAGCCTCGGCTGAATATCCAACTCCTCCCACATCCAAGGCGGCCATTTTGATTAGGTCATGTGACTAGCAGGTTTCTGAGGTGGAGACGAAACTTTACTGTCTATACGAAATCAGAAGACAAACGATGTCCTAACCCTAATCCTGACCCTAAACTTAACCCTAACCCTAAACCTGAACCTGACCCTAACCCTGACCCTAAACTTGTTACTAAACCTAACCCCAACCCTAACCTTTAACCTAAACCTAACTCTGACCCTAAACCCTAAACCTGTTACTAAACCTAACCGTGACCTTAACCCTAAACCTAACCCTGACCCTAAACCTAAACCTGACCCTAAACCTAAACCTAACCCTAACCCTCCACCCTTCATAATTATGAGAAATAAATATTTTTTGGTTAAACTTGTTTGGACTTATTGTACAAACCTATTTAACATCCACTATTTTAACATAATATTATGGATAGAGTTTAATTCAGTGTTTGCAAGATTCATTTCACTATTTTTAAATTAATGTCTATATTGCCATGAAGCAATTAGGATTTTCTTGCCTGGGATCTTCCTATTGGCGACCTAATCAAAATGGCCGACCTGGATGTGGGCGGGGTTGGCTCTCCATCCTTGGCTTCCTGATGTTTATTTGGTCCAAAGGCGTTCGGGCGGAGCCGCTTATGTCATGATGTGCAATCAGTGAGCGACATGTGATGGTGAGATATGCCTTGTGATTCACTTCTTTTATGGAGACACAATGCCTCTTTTCAGCATTTTTTTCCAGACGTTTATGTTTCCGCACGCTGTCATAACCAAGGCCAACGTCTCGTCTGTAAACCGCCAACACACTTGACATAATTGGCGTGCTATTTGCTTGTCTCTTTCTATCTAGATAAGACAAAAACATCCCTCCCTCCCACTTTTGGGCAGTGTTGTGGCTAAATGCCTTTTCTTAGAAAATTAAACATTTTCCTTGCCACTCTTACAGGACGTGAAGGTTCTGACTCGTTCAGCTTGGTTTAAAAACGTAAGCAAAAAAAAAGAAAAGAAAAGACTTTATTACGAACGTCAAACTTGCAAAGAATTGCCATTATAAACCAAAAGATTAACCTTAGGGTAAGTATAAACCAGAACTTTTTTAACTCAACTTGAATTTCTTAAACTCAGGATATTAAAGGACGTTCATTAAGTGATAAATCAAAATAACAAATGTAGAAAACCATACAAAATAAAACCAGATGCTTCTTAATAAAATAAACAGTATACATTCCTCATAACTAAATTATTCCAATCACAAATAGATAAACAAACACACTAAATAATAACACAACAAACCCAATAGATAGATAAACACCCTTTCTCTCTGGCTCTAACAGATAGTGTTGTTTTTTGTGTCTGTTTTGTTTTTTATTGGCAGATCGATATAACCGTTTATCCGCCTGCTTTGCTTGGCGTCGGGAGTCAGGGGCCAAAGATTAACGACCCGCTCCTCCGGGCTTTTGCTTTCCGCTGTTATTTCTGCTCTGTAAATCTGCCTCTGCAGCACCTAGACGCACAAAGCTTTTTCGGTGCAGCCGTTCGGCCGAATGGCTCTCTGGCCACCGGCCTAATTGGTCTGGCAGTGTGTTATTACACCAATTTAATGAGCGGCTTTTGGACAAGTGTTTAATTTTCACGAGTCGGAAGTTAATTTCTGTTCATACCAGTTCAGTATCAGCCTGATTGGTGCTTTCTTACACAGTCTTTGTTATTTAAATCAAATGTTTGTTGGCAAAACACGATCCTAAATGTACAGTGGGGGAAATAAGTATTTGACCCCTTGCTGATTTTGCAGGTTTGCCAACTTACAAAGAATGCAACGATCTATAACTTTAATCATATGTACATTCTAACAGTGAGAGACAGAATCCCAAAGAAAATTCCAGAAAATCACATCATATGAATTTATAAAAATTGATAACTCTCTGATGAGGAAAAATAAGCATTCTTTGTAAGTGGGCAAACCTGCAAAATCAGCCAGGGGTCAAATACTTATTTCCCCCGCTGTATATGAGAAGGGAGCTTTTGTCATTTATATCCAATTAGCATCCTGGATAGAGCCCGTAAAGAACTTGAGGAACTTAAGAACTGATCTTGTTAGAGTCTTTGTAAGTGTTGTGTGTTTTGTTTAGTGTTTTTACTCATTGATTAGTTAGGTTTATCAAGTTTCTAAGACTCTCCTAGATGACCAGGACAGGATATGGAGGCAAAACGAGGCTCTGCCTGTAGCTTTTGCTTCTGCCTCGTCATGTTCTCTGTCGGAGGATGTGTGAGAGGAATCTGCTCTGCTTTCTATGTTTGTAACTCAATCTGTGTCAGCAGAATTCTCTCCACTTGGGTTTCACGTGCTTCATGTTAGAGTACTCGAAGCTATGTAACCTAAAGTCTTATGCCCGAACCTGAAAGATAGCGTTACAAGGGCCCGTTCACATATCCGTCCAACTTTAATATCTGGGGATAAATAAGTCTCCACAACACTGGGCAGGTTTTTGTAAAGTTTCCAGGGTCACCTGAGTGATTTAGAGCAGTGTTTTTCAACCTTTTTTGACCCAAGGTACATTTTTTCATTGAAAAAATCACGAGGCACACCACCAACCAAAAATGTCAAACAAATCTGTAGCCGCCTATAGTAACACTATAGTTATTCTTATTTTATTCTCATCTTATCTTAAGTGTCTTGGATAGGAATCAAATAAACACAAAATGTATTTTTATCATATTTTATATTTCTTCTTTCAAATTGCACTTAACATGTTCACTTCAATATATAAAATTATATACAAAATCTAGTCATAAGGAATTATTACATGATTACTCCACCAGTCACTAGTAAAAGTAAAAGCTTTTTAGACCAGTTAGGTGAAACAGGATTATTTTCTACGGCGCATCTACACTACACTAGTGTACCGAGGCACAGTGGTTGAAAAATACTGATTTAGAGCCTGATGAGGTCTGTTTTTGATAAAAAATTTGGTTTCATTTGTGATTTTTCTCAGTATTCCTCCCAAACGGCTGATATTTGTTCAGCCTTTTGTGTGGGAACAGGCTCTTTTGGGCACAGGGCTCCAACTTTCCACAAAATCTGACACTTTTTAGAGAGCGGTCCAGCACAGTAGGCCTGTGTCTGACCGGGAGTCCAAAGGTTTCCACTGAATGAAGTCATCCCGAGTCAGAGCCGCGTTTGTCATGGTATTTCCATGTTGGAGCAGATTGTGACTCCTTTGCATCGTTCTGAGCTCAGGACTCGTAAAAAACCAACATATCCTGCCCAGAAGCTCATGAAGCCAAACTTCAAGTGGTGCTTTTAGGTAGTTTTAAGCACTAAAATCATTATTTTGTTTGTTCTTGCTTTTAATTTGTTAAAATTTAGATAAATATGTTGATGGAGATCTTTATATTGGAGTGAGTGGACATCATTATGGGATTTATTGAGGCTGATGAAAAGATATTAAACCAACATGATTAAAAAATTTGACATTTTTCCTGTTTTCTGTCAAGAATCACCTAATTTACCCGTACGAAAATAAGCATAGAAATAAAAGTGTCAACTCTTTTAAGTCAGTGATGTTTCTAAAACGTTTTTCATTTGTTCAAACATGTCCAGAAAATTTGATTTTCATAATTAACCTCTAAATGTTTTAGTTCTCTGGGAATTTACGGCCCCAAAGGCTGCACCTCAAAACAAGTGTGGAGTAAAAAGCTGTCGGGTTCACAAACTCCTCTTTCTCCATTTTTCCTGCCTGTAAAACTGGAAGTGGACGGCTGGGTTTAGGCCTGGTTGCCGTGACGATAGCTGGCTTTTTTCTGCTTTGTGTCGGAGCCGGGCTCGCTCCACCGTCGGCTCCTTATTCGGTCAAGTGTGGCTTGAACTTTCTGAGCAACCAATTTAGAATATGAGGCGATCTGGGAGGGGGAGAGGCTGTTGCTAAAATTAGGCTGTGAGCAGAGATCCCGATGGTTCCTGAGTTTAATGAGTGCGCTGGTTAACGTGTTGTAGGAGGGGGGACATCTGTGTCTGACTCTTATTGTTGCTCAGAAATGTTGCATCAGGGGCGAGCAGAGTCATGGAGGAAGTGGTGAGAGATATGACCTCATTGGATTAAAGAAGGGATGATTAAATCTGACTCGTCTGACTCTGAACATGACTTAGATCTTCCCCTGGAACCGGATGAGCTCCGGGTCTGAACCCAAATAAAGGCCGGAGTCCGTTTGCCTCCCCTCTGAAACTCCAACATTTCTGGAACCGTTTCACATCTCTGCGTCAAACCGGGATGTAATTATGTTAGAAAATGAGTCGCTTTGGAAGTGTAATAAAGAGGTGGGCACATTTCTCCATACATTATGGGAGTGTCCCTTGATAATGTCCTTTTCAAAGGCGGTTTTGGCTTAGTCAACCTCTACCAGAGTCTGCACAATTTAGCCTTGTAGGAGACAAATCATCCCAAAAGCTGAAGGTAGACTAATGATGACAGGTTTTCTAGTAGCAGCCAGAATTATTCTTCCTAAATGGAAGAGCCCACGTAGACCAGAAATCAAGGACTGGCTTCAGCTTCTGTCAGAGACAGCTGCTTATGAGGTCACGATTTCTAGGGTGCAGAAAGAGCCAAGTAAGGCTGGCCAAGCATGGCTATATTCTGACTACAATGTTGGTAAAAATTCTTAAGGGATTTGGGGTGTGGTGTATTCTGAGAGTATGAATATGTGGATTGATATATCTATGAATAGATAACTGATAAGTGGTGTCATGTTCTGTGTTGGTGCCCGTGTTTTTGTTGTTGATTGTCAGCTGTTTGTAACTGTGTTATAAAAGAAAAATACATAAAAAACTTTAATGAAAAAAAATAAAAATTAAAAAATGAGTCGCTTTTAGCACAAAGGGAACCTTTAGGAGTGTTACGGCCATTTGGAAGTAGCTTTTACTGGAAAATATGCGTCTTTTCTGACCGGTGTTCTTCACCTTATAAGGTCCCTCTCCTCTATTTTACGTGACTCTCTCTCTCCCCTTTGCTGACTAACTCGACCAACAAAAGCTGCTTTGTGGCTTTTTTCTTTACGGGAGTTTCTCCAGGAGCCACTCCTGTAGCGACACCCTGGAAAGTGCTGCTATTTACAAGCGAGTCCTAAACCTCCGGCGTAATAAAGCAGCCCGGTTTTAACGCTTTTATGGCGGGACATCACGAGTCTCATGATCGTCTTCTGGCCGTAAACGTAAACGCAGCTTAACGCAGGCCGGCTGTTCGTGGAGCGGAAATGCAGCTCCACCAGCATCGTGTCTTAAACCAAACAACAGCAGACGATTTGGGGGGAGTAACAGGACATTTCTGGAATAGTTTGTCCCTCCTCCCCCCCCTGCTGACTGCACAGAGAGGCCCAGGAAAAGGGGTTTTCTTCCTCCTCTCACTTAGAGCCTCTATCACCCTCTGCTCTCCTTCTTGTTGGTGAGCAGTTCACATTAGGGTTGTCAAAAGTATCAATACTATCAATAAAAAAGTATAGATACTAAAACGTTGTATCCGGAAACGATACTCATTTTCAAAAGTATCCACACTCCCCGCCCCCTTCTCTCTGATTTATTTATTTATTTATTTATTTATTTACATTGTTTATGATCATTAACGTGACGTTAGCCTTGAATTTCTAGCTGCGGCTAATGGCTAATAATAACAAACCAACATTAATCAAGTCTGTGTTGCCATAGATGGAGATCCAACTCCCCCACATCCAAGTCGGCCATTTTGATTCGGTCATCAATAGGAAGATCCCAGGAAAGAAAATCCTAATTGCTTCATGGCAATATAGACATTGATTTAAAAATAGTGAAATGAATCTTGCAAACACTGAATTAAACTCTATCCATAATATTATGTTAAAATAGTGGATGTTAAATAGGTTTGTACAATAAGCCCAAACAAGTTTAACCAAAAACTATTTATTTCTCACAATTATGAAGGGTTAGGGTTAGGGTTAGGGTCAGGGTTAGGGTTTGGGTAATTAATGTGATAACATCAGTAACAGTTCAGTTTGAAACCAAATACACTAACCTGCCAAAATTCAGTTACATTTTGCTGTCTTTGTTTTTATCCTTGTGGTATCGAACATGGTATTGAGTATCGAATATTTTCCTGAGTAAAATTTCAGTATCGTGACAAACCTTGTACACATGATCCCTCATTTCCTCCCTCTCTGCTGTAATGTGTGTTGGCCTTGGCCTGACTCGGGAAAACTGCCTGTGAGGGGAGGGAAAGTGTGAAATGTCTTTCTCAGCTGTTGTGGCAGCTCCTTCCAGACGGATTGAGACATGAAGTCACATCTAAAAAAGCAGCTCTCAGAGCAGAGATCTCCCCATCTAGAAAATGGCATTTTTCGTGTGTGCTTTGTGTTTCCGTCCCGGCCAGAAGACGATCACCTGGGTTATTAATCCCCTCCACTCTGCTCGCTCCTCTCTTTGTCATATTTTCCGCCTGTTGCCGTGGGAACAGCTGCCTTTGATCCACACCTGAATGGCTCTCTGTAGGTGTTGTGCTCATCCCATTGATGTCTTTCTGATCCTGTTAAAGAGTCCTCTAATTACAGTTCCAGTCTTGTTTTGGCTACAAACCTTAAAGACTCTCTGGTCCAAAACATTACGAGGAGTTAAATCACAGAACGCAAAAAGGGGAAGTTTCATTTGCCGAACAATGGCCGATCCAGACGTATCGGGAATAGAATTCAAAAGGGGAAAGGGAGAGGACGGGTTGAGGACAAAGAGGCAGCAGACAAATCAAACAGAGCCGTGTCACTCAGAGAACAACTGCTGGACCCACTGAACCCCAGAACAAAGTCCCCTCTGAACCACCACCTCTGGGTTTTAAAGTCCGATGTGTCCGTGTGGTGACTAGGGCTGTCACGATACTAAAATGTTCAACTCCATACCGATACTCAGGAAAATATTCGATATAATCTATACCATTTTCGATACCACAAGGATAAAAACAAAGACCCCAAAATGTAACTGAATTTTGACAGGTTAGTGTCTTTGGTTTCAAAGTTACCTATTACTGATGTTATGGTGGCCCACATTAATGACCCTAACCCTAACCCTAACCCTCCACCCTTCATAATTGTGATAAATATTTTTTGGTTAAACTTGTTTGGACTTATTGTACAAACCTATTTAACATCCACTATTTTAACATAATATTATCTATAGAGTTTAATTCAGTGTTTGCAATATTCATTTCACTATTTTTAAATTAATGTCTATATTGCCATGAAGCAATTAACATTTTCTTGCCTGGGATCTTCCCACTGGTGACCTAATCAAAATGGCCGACTTGGATGTGGGGGGGTTGGATATCCATCCTTGGCTTCCTGCAGACTTGATTAATGTTGGCGTGTTGTTATTAGCCATTAATCGCAGCTAGCAATTCAAGGCTAACGTCACATTAATCATCATAAACAACGTAAATAAATAAATCAGAGAGAAGGGGGTATCGATACTTTTGAAAATGAGTATCGTATGCGGATACAACATTTTAGTATCGATACTTTTGACAACCCTTGTGGTGACACGTTACGATTTCCATCAGACCAGAAGACACACGTCTCTGAGTTTCTCTAACAGACTCCTGCAGAGCTGTTAAGGAACTGGAACGAGCAGTGATTTTTGGACATGAAACGGACGAAAAAAGGGGCGTTTATCCTCCTCTCAAAGGCTCCTGTTCTTAACAAAAGTGCATTCCAGAGGAAAACCGCCCCAATCAGCTACTGGCCTTTCTGTCTAGAAGGTAAACGGCCTTCTCACAACCCTAAAGCTCGCACACAGGGAGCTCTGCTGTGTTCCCTTTTGCAGAAAAGCCCAAATTTAAATGCCATTTCCAGATGTCATTTAAGTTCCAGATGATTATTTCTGATCAGTTTCACGGCGGAGGCTCTCTGCTTTTTACGGGGCCGTTTGAATTAAAGGGGACATATTATGCAAAACCAAGTTTTTAATAATTTGATTATGTACATTTGGGACTGTGTAAAGTGTGAAAAAAAATGACTAAGTCATGTTTTTGTGGGCCGCCTCAGTCTGAATCCAGGAGATAAATCAGGAGGTTTCAGGAGTGGGTAGTTTCTGACGTCATTAGCTCTAGCTCATTATGATATTATTATTATTATTATTATATTAATATTATTATATATTATCTAGCTCATTATAATATTCCAGCCTTTCACCTGCATGTTGCCCCCCCTCAGCTTACTCCCCTATCTGTGGAGACGTCCTGGTAGCGTTAGCATGGTAGCGTTAGCATGGTAGCGTTAGCGTGGTAGCGTTAGCGTGCTGACGTGGGCACACCTCCCTGAAGAAGTGGGTGGATTGCCTGAATCTCATTTGCATTTAAAGAGACAGGCACTCCAAAGCGAGCGCTCTAAACGGGGCTGTTTTGGGTTAGGGTTAGGGTTAGGGTTAGGGTTAGGCAGGGGGACTGAACTGCTATTGGGCTTCATCCTTATGGGATTTTGACCAAAGCTTGTCACAGACATTACATTAGGACCCCAGGGAACTAGCTTAACTTGTTGAAATAGGGTATAATATGTCTCCTTTATATTAGACAGGAACCAAGCAGAAGTCAGAATACTTCATTAAGAAACCTCACAAAGCGGAGTTAATCAAACCAAACGCTTATTCTTTTGGTCTGATGGGGACTCCAGATGGAACGGGATTCCTCCATAAATGGCGGCGAGCATAATCGAAACGCTCAGAAAAACAAAGCGGAGCCCAGAACAAAGAGACGAACGGCTGTGGGGGGGGGGGGATATCTCTGACAGCCCCGCTTAGCATTAGAGATTAGAGAGCCTCAGCTTTTAACTCGTCCTTGTCTTCTTCTTCTTGGGGAATCACTGACTCAGATTGGCTTCTTTTATCTCTCCTCCCCAGGCCTCCCGTATCTGAGATACAAAAGCTCTCTCAGATTTATTTGGACAGCACGTGCCGCCTCCGTTTCTCTGTTTTTAGTCTTAAGAGGAAGCAGAACGAGTGACTCTTAATCATCCTTTCAGCTTCCTGTTCTCCATTAAATGCCTCATCAGATCGGAAAAGGGGAAAATGTATTGAAGCATTTAGGACAGGATTGATGTTTTTCTGTGTATTTAGTGTAATTGAGACTAGAGCTGTCAAAAGTATCAATACTCAAAGTATTGATACTAAAAATGTTATATCCGGATACGATACCCCCCTACTCTCTGATTTAATTATTTAATTACGTTGTTTATGATCATTAACGTGACGTTAGCCTTGAATTGCTAGCTGCGGCTAATGGCTAATAACAACACGCCAACATTAATCAAGTCAGCAGGAAGCCAAAGATGGAGATCAAACTCCCCCACATCCAAGTCGGCCATTTTGATTAGGTCACCAATAGAAAGATCCCAGGCAAGAAAATCCTAATTGCTTCATGGCAATATAGACATTAATTTAAAAATAGTGAAATGAATCTTGCAAAACGGAATTCAACTCTATCCATAATATTATGTTAAAATAGTGGATGTTAAATAGGTTTGTACAATAAGTCCAAACAAGTTTAACCAGAAAATATTTATTTCTCACAATTATGAAGGCTGGAGGGTGGAGGGTTAGGGTTAGGGTCATTAATGTGGGCCACCATAACATCAGTAACAGGTCAGTTTGAAA